TTATAGCACTCATAACAAAAAAATAACGAAAAAAAGTTAAAATTACAAAATTATGCTTTATCAATACATACTGCAAAATTATAAACCTTAAAAAACTTCAACAAAATCCGTTCTAGACTTTCAAGCGGGGCGCAGACACCTTAAATTTGAACTTTATGTACTACAAGTTTTACGAGACAGTATACTTAAAAAAACGGCAAGTATTTCCGCACAGTTCTTTTGCAATATCCTCAATCTATTCTAGATGAGGCAATGAGCCAGAAAAGAGCAGTAAATCCAAATATGATGTGAGTGACAAAGTTAACCATTCAGAGTTCTACAAAAAGCAAAATACGGCGAGAAAGGGAAGCTAACGCTTCAAAAAAAATTTTAGAATTACTGGGCTTCCGGTGATATCAAAAAACTTCAAAATCCACCTACCTGCCGACACACACTGCATCAGGTACAGATCAAGACTTCGCTGGAGAAACATGAGACAAATCCCGTTTTGGACAAAGCCAAGGCTTTTCAGGCACACCACAGTTCTAACTATAATGCTACTGCCAGTGGCTAACTCCGCCAACAGTCATAAAGTATGTGACTAAGAGACATTGCCGACTGTTCTTAAGGTCACGAATCAACTCAAAGCCAACAGGGGACCAGCAGTATTAATGTACCTGGCTTTCTGCTTCCGATATCATGATCGCACCCAGACTCATAAGCAATAGTGCCGAAAATCCATAGAAGCTGCAGTAAGTGAATCGGAAGCAATCACGTCATCGTCTGCGCCTGGACAAACAAGAAAAAGAAAACAATCAGTGGCCTAAAAAATAGTCATTTAACCCCGGAGGCACCAAAAAAATGTAAAAGTAGCGCCACTTTTAAAAATACAGTTTTGTGGACAACCGTGCAGCAGGCAGCAGCAGCTTTCGCGGCGAAGTGCCAAACTTCTCGCTCGTTAACTGGTTGAACATGCTTACTTTTCTTTAACCCATCTTTTTTCCAATGCAATGCGTTTTCCATTTGTAGAATCTCGTTGCTGTCTCATTGGACAACCCCACAATGAGAGACTTCAACTGTATGGTGTACAGTACAGCCCGTACATGTTGGAAATTCTACTCAGCACTGAATTTGGCCATCAGTAATAGACTAACGATTCTTCACTTGACATTTGAATTTTAGCGTATTTCTGACTTTGTAATGGATTTTTATTTTTCTTTTTGTGCTGTGCCAGAACAATTTTCTAATCAACTGTTTTGGTCCATCTGTTCCAGCTTAATGGCAGCCGACTCAGAACAAATAAAGAGAAAATACACCGACATTCACATTATTTAGCAGCGGTAGAGCAAGTGATGTATGAAACGAAAACTCTGTACAGTTAAATTGATAAAGAGGGGTTTGCGTAACAAAATAAACTGTTTTTAATCATTAGTTATCTGTAAAAAAGTACAGAAAAATGGTAAGGAGAGATACGAGGTAAAATATGCAGT